TTTGGTTTTTGGTTAGAGGAGACTTGAAAGACAAGCCTGGCAATCTTCTGTCAACAAGTCACAGCCCTGAGAATCCGATGGAGCAGTTCTATTCTGCACACAGTGGTCACCATAAATTGGAATTTAGTCAAAGGCAGCTAATAGCAACAGCACTCCCAAACCTAGTCTTTCTTAGTGCAACCACTTCAGTTCCTGCTTAGTGACATACACTTTGGGCAACTGGCTGCTGTCTGGGCTGGGTAAAAGCAGCCCCTTCTGGTTTCTCTTCTGAGGGACGAGCTTCTGGGGAAAAAAAGGCACACACCCACATTATTTAGTTTCCTTCCCTGCCTCCCACACCAGCTGGCTGGGATAGAATGACCTGGAACCTTGTGAATGCACACAGCCTGGGCTCCCAAGCTCAGAGGGGCAGTACTGGGCAGGCTAGAGTGAGATGTATGAAGGACTTTCCTGTGAGCCTTTGAGGCCAGAGGGAGGAAGTATGGGACAGAGTATAGGAGAGATTGCCGTGTCAGGGTAGAGGAATTGACAAGAAGACCTCTTGATTTGCAGGCTCAGGAATCCACCACAAATATACTCCATAGTAAATACAAGAACAGCTCCTGAGAGGATCGGACGGGAGCCAAGGAGTCTGCACACACACCAGCTGCTGCATCTTCCTGCATCCCTAGTAAGGCTGGCACAGCCTGACCCGAGCCTATACCCTCCTTCGGATGGCCTTACAGCTGGGAAAAAAGCCCTGGGGCTGTGAAGATGGTAGCATCTCCAGGGCCTGTGCCTGCAAGCCCCAGGTCCAGAGGAGCCAGGATGAAGAAGGGATCTGGATGTGAACGGGAGTCATAGACAGGAAGGATGAGCAAAGAAGGGGGATGCTGGCCAAGGCAGCCAGGATTCGGCCTAAGCATGGGCTTCCCTAGCCCCCTGCTCTAGCCCTGAGCTGGGTGGGGACTGGGTGCACCCAAGGACCTAGAGGTGAAAGGTGAGGTCAGTGGGGCCAGGCATCTCTGTATTGACAATAAAGGTTTGTGTTGAGATCAATGTGTCTGACTAGGGGTATTCCTCTTCTCCCTTGGGGCAATCTTATCCCAGGACTGCTGGGGGAGACAGATCCTTCCCCTTAAAAGCCTGTCGGATGGGAGAGTTACAGCCTGCCTTCAAGAACTTCCAGTTAAATGGGAGAGAGAATCCACACCCCTGAAAATTTCTGACTTAATGGGAAGATATAATTCCTGCTGTTGAGGTCCTAAATATTGTGTGTGGGGGGGAAAGACTGGTCTTCATAGTTGGAATCCCCTGTCTGATGAAGGAGACACAGCCTTACCCTCTCTCTCCCTGTCTAAAGGTGAAGACTGGTACCAGTCTAATGGGGCTACCATTGACCAAGTCCATAAGTGCAGGCAACTGCATCCTAGGCAAAGTGTGGATTTGGCAAGCTTCATAGAGGATACTGAAGCTTGCTGGGGTAAAGCAGGAGAATTTTGTGAGTAGGAGTTCAGGTGAGTGAAATCTGGTGGGGAACTCGGGACATGTGAAGTCTATTTGGGACCTTCATACTAAAGGCCACTGAGAGCCATAGTAGTTTCCTGAGCTAGGCAATGGAGAGAGTCTGAGAGGCCATGACAGTTACGTGCATCAGGAAGAGCTGGCTCAGAGGACAGGAGGCCTGGATTCCAGTCGTTGGACAGCAATTGGGCCTTATTTTCCCCATCTGTACAACGGGGAGGGGGTGAAATTGATCTCTAGCTCTAAAATTAAGTAGCCAACTCTCAGCCCAAAAGGTAAGGGGCCAATGGGATTAGCCATGTCCCTGTGACCCAGTTTCCCTGATGTTGGGTAGGGGAAAGGCTGAAAGGTTCAGAGTTCTTCCCAGCTGTTTGGCAAAGGTTGGCAATTAGGGGCCTTGGGGAAATTCACCACTTGGAATGGGAGTCTCCAGACATCGACTGATTGCAGCTCATGGGAAACATCACGCCCCATCCTGCTCCTATTAGCCTTGGTTTCAGCCCTGAAAAAGCCTGCCTAAGGCATTTGACTGCTAACCAGAAGGCTGGCAGTTCAAACCTATCAGCCACTCCTCGGAAGGAGGGGTGCGCAATCTACTTCCGTAGTGATACTGCCTCAGAAACCCAAGGAGGGGTCGCTATGAGTAGAATCCAACTCAACAGCAGTGAGTTTGGTTTGGTTTTTGGTTTGGGGCCGGCTGGGAAAAAGTCTGGACACCTCAGGGTGGGGGCTGTGGTGGTACTCAGCAGGCAGGTGAGATGGCACTGAGAGCTGACAGTGCTTTGCTGTCTTTTTCCTTTTTCCTTTTTTTAAATTGTGATTTGGGTGAAAATTTACAGAGCAAATTCACTTTCCATACAGCAGTTCACATATACTTTGTCTCCTGACATTGACTACAATTTAACTCAATGCAACAGCTCCCCTCCCACTTCCTCCCGATAGTTACCTAGTTACCTCTTCCCTGTGTCCATCCCTCCATGCACTCCTGTCCCCTGAGCTGTCTCCCTGTGCATAACAGCACTTCTATTCTCCCATGATTGTTCTCTCCAAGGAGTGTATCTATCTCAGGTACAGGTTAACTCCTATGCCTGTCTTTTGTCTGGCTGGAAGCCACAGGTGTGGGTTCAATTCCAGACCTGAAGGGCAGCTAGGGGCCATAGTCTCAGTGGTTCCACCAGGCTCTATCAGACCAGCAAACCTGGTCCCCCCGCCCTTTTTTTTCCCTTCCAAATCATTTTGAGTTTTGTTCCACATTGTTCTCCCTCTCTACCCAGGATCTCCTACATAGATCCCCCTCCAAATGGTTGACAGTGGTAACCGGGCACCATCTGGTTCTTCTGGTCTCATAGTTGTATAGGCTGTGGATCACATGGTGTACCAGTCGCTAGGATTAATTGTTTCCATGAATCTTTGGTTTTCTTCATTCTTCTTTGCTTTGGATGAGGAGAGACCCATCGTTGCATCTAGATGGCAGCTTGTAAGCTTTTAAGATCTCAGTCACTACTTGCCAAAGTAGGAGGTGGAACAATGTTTTGTGTAGTATGTTATGCCAATTGAGCTTGATGTCCCCTGTGACTATGATCCCGAGCCCACCGGTTCAACTACTCTGTCCCTCTGGGTAGCTGGCTGTGACCAAGAAGTGACTACAACCTTGTCCCTTGTCAGCTCTATTATACACCTGGGAATTCTTACAAATCATACAAATACACTTATAGGACCATTGTCTGCCAACACTATGCATGATCTGGGGTACACTCCCTGCTTCATAGACATACCTAATAGTTCAGCCTGTCCACCCATCTATCCACCCATATACCCATATTTGCCTTCACTGACAACTCAGTACTGTATATGCAAAAGTGCTTTTCTGTCTTGAAGCTGTCATCTCTTTCCCTATTCTGGGCCAGGATTCCCTCCCAGCATCCTTTAGGACCATCAGTCAACAGAGCCATGAGCAGCCAGTGGCTTTGGCTGCTGCTGCTGCTGCTGTTTATTGGGAATGGAGCCTTCAACCTGCGTGGTGAGTATCCACATATACCCTTTCCTTCCTTCCTTCTCTGGAGGCTCTCTCAGCCTTTCTTCTGGCTGGCAGGAGAAGGGAAGTAGGTGGTAGATGATCAGGTAGGGTTCCCAGGAAGATCTTATAATGTGAGCACAGCCTCCTGCCCCCACCAACTGTCTGGAAAGACTTGGGGGAACCAGTGAGTTTGGAAGCAGGAGCTTGAACAGGATAACTTCCAAGGGACTTCTGTTCACCCATCTCTTCCTGGGTGCTATTTCTGTCCAGTTGCCTACTCCATCTTGTCTGTCATTTCATCTGCCTTTCCCTTTCTGTCTGAAATTGAACCAGGCTAATGGCTTCAGCAGGCTACTTTCCTCCCAAGCTGGCCAGAACTGAGGACCCAGCTGCCTTTCCCTACCTTATTCCACAAAGGAGCAATTCCCAACCCCAACCAATTCCTCACTGAGCTTGAAGTAGGCATTCAGCCCTAGATTCTGAACTCCTGGGACAACATCAGGGAATATATTTGGAGGTAGTAGGAGATTGTGTATCTCATCATCCCCATGAGTCTGGGGCTTTTGCCAGGGACAGGATCATCCATGGCAAAGCATCTGGAAAGCAGAGAACAATTTTGGAGACGGGAGCAGAAGGGGATAATCATTACTAATAGCAGGTTTCTTTTCAGTGAGCATCTACTATGTGCTAAACCCTGTGCTGTGTGCTTCACATGCATTATCTCATTTAATCCCCATGATTGTCCAGTGAAATGGCTACTATTATCATTCCTATTATGCAGTTGAGGAAACTGAGGCTTAGAAATGTAAAGTGATTTGTCTCCCATACAGAGCTGGAATTCTAGCCCTGGCCTGATTTTAGAGCTCGGGCCACATTCCATTGCTTCCCACAGAAGCTGCCATGGGCAAGACACCTCAATATCATAAAGATCTCAATTGCAGTACATTTCCAATCAAAATCCCAATAGGATTTTTGTTGAACTTGGAAAGCTGATCCTAATATATGTAAAGAAGAAAAAAAGGCTAACAATATCGAAGATAATTTTTTAAAACTTTTTATTTTGATTTGAGTGCAAATTTACAGAGCATATTGGTTTTCCATTCACTAATTCATACAAATTTTATTTCCTGCCATTGATCACAATCTCCACAATGTATCTGTACTCTTCCCACTTCCTCTCTGTGTTTACAGTTTCCATTGACCATTCTTTCCTGTCCCTTCCTGGCTTCTGAGCTTTCTTCCCAGGCAAATGCTGTCCCTTTGATCTCAGATGATCGATTGTTCTAAGGAGTGCATAGCTCTCTGGTGTTATTGATCACCTTATAGACCTGTCTATTGTTTGGCTGAAAGTTGAGCTGTGGGGATGATTTCAGTTCCAGGCTTGAAGGGTGACTGATGTCCATAGTCTCCGGGGTTCCACCAATCTCTATCTGACCCGTAAGCCTGGCCTTTTCATGATTTTGAGTTTTGTTCCACATTTTTCTCCCACTCTATCCAGGAACTTCTATTGTGATCTCTTTCAGAGCAGTCAGCAGTGATAGCCAGATACCATCTAGTTCTTCTGGCCTCAGGGTCGTGGAGGCAGAGGTGCACATGGTCCATTAATCCTTTGGACTAATTGTTTCTGTGTGTCTTTGATTTTCTTTACTTTTTGCACCAGATGGGGAGCTCACAAGCTTTTAAGACTCCTGTGGCTATACACCAAAATTAGGATGTAGAACATTGTCTTTGTGGACTACATTATATCAATTGACCAGCCACTCATTCCCTCAAGGTGTTTGGTTATGTATCCAAGATAAATCTGAAGAACAAGAATGGACATTCACTCTATTGTTGTTGTTGTTATGTACCGTCGAGTCACACCTGACTCATAGTGACCCCTCCTTGGGTTTCCGAGGCAGTATCACTACAGAAGTAGATTGCCCCATCTTCCTTCCAAGGAGTGGTTGGTGGGTTTGAACCACCAGCTTTCTGGTTAGTAGTCAAGTGCCTTAGGCACTATGCTACCAGAACTCACTCTATTAGATATTGAAATTTACTATAAAATAATAGTAAGACAATGTAGTGTTGGTGTAGTGAGTCAAAC